AAAAATACAATACAACTATCAAAAATACAAGCAACAATGAACGATGGCAAGGATATGGGGAGAAAAGCACATTCATACGTTTCTGGTTGGACTGTAAATCGGTGTAATCTCTATGGAAAGCAGGATTCCTCTGAAAATTTGGAATGGAACCACTATTTGACCCAGCTATCCTATCCTAGGTTTATATCCAAAGGACTTAAGGTCAGCATACTACAGTGAAGCAGCCATATTTTTAGCAGCTCAACTCACAAATAGCCAAACCACAGAACCAATCTAGATGACCTTCTAAGGATGAATGAATGAGGAAATGTAGTATATATACACAAGGGAATATTATTCATCCTTAAAGAAGAACAAAATTATGGAATTTGCTTATGGATGGAAATGGAGAATATCATAATAAGTGAAATAATCCAATCCACAAAAACCAAAGACTGAGTGTTTTATTGGCTATATGGATACTAATTCACAATGGGGGCGTGGGTATAGGAAATAGAGGTATATTGACTTAGGCAGAGGGGAAAGAAGGGAGGGGAGAGGGTATGGGAGTAGTAAGGGTAGTAGGATGAATCAGACATTATTACCCTATGTGTATATGATTGCATGATCGGTGTGATTCTACATCATGTACAATGAGAAGTTGTACTCCATTTACTTATGGTGTGTCAAAATACATTCTACTGTCATGTATAACTAATTAGAACAAGTTTTTTAAAAAGAACCTCTCAACTTATCCAAATATATTATGCTTACCCTTTGAGCCAACACCCTCAGCATCCAGTTCCTACCCAACCTCCAGCTGTCTTCCAGTAACTGTGGTCTAGATCTTCCTTTCTCTGGGGGATCTAGTCCCTTCCTCCTTTAGCAGATCCAGAACTTTCCCACCTAATTGTGTTATGACATGAAGCCAGAGATTGTTCTGATGGCCAGGAGTGGAGGTGGGCACTGATTCTAATGGAGAGAAACAAGTTATTTTTTTCAGAGTTCTCTATATTACCTAAAGTATAGACTGTTTCAAGGAGAATTATCTACCTTTGTAAGCCCAGATTTTCAGGAACTCAAGATTTTGTGTACATCAATTTGGACAAGCTATTCCAAGCCTTAGGGTCCCACTCCTTTCCAATCAGGGCCCTTCCTTGAAAGGGACAGTCTACCAAGATAAAGAAAATAGCCCCCTCTGAGGCTTGGCTACTCTTCTAATTAGATCCTGAAACTGATTCTAGACTTTTTTGGCTCACCACCTGCAGAAGATGAGAGTCTTTTATATGCTGCCAGTAAGGAGGTATGGTTTTTACATTCACTTTAAATTGTGACTAATCACTATCAGGCTTTCATTGTCTTTCCTAATATAATATCCATTTGCTTCCACAGCCCTGATATTTACTGCTTGACTTGAACCTCTGAGACAGCTGCCAGAGTACATCTTTTCCATCCCAGTTTACCACAGTGAAAGTTTAAATAATTGACCCCTCCTGTTGAAATCCAGGGGTTTCATTCACCCCTAGTGATGGTCAGTTGGTGACTGGTTCGGGCTCCTAAACCCAATTTTTAAATATGCTTTTTAGAGCTCTATATTCCACCATACTAACTGATTTTTAGGGTAATGAATTAAATGGTGCTGTCTCAAATGATGTGTCTGCCCAGAACAAGAGAATGCAATTATATTCGGGAAAAGGATCTGGCAGATAAAATGAAATGAAAGGGTTTGAGATGAGACCATCCCCAATTATCCGAGTGGACTTAACATCCAATGAAAAGTGTCCTTTTAAGGAACACACAGAAGAGAAAGTGATGTGAAGACAGAGGCAGGCATTGGGGTGATGGGTCCATAAGCCTAGAAGAACTAATGATTGCCAGCAAACACCAGCAGCTGGAAGAGAAGCAAAAAAAAAAAAAAAAAAAGGAGAAAGAAACCAATCCTGCCAACACTTTGACTCAGATTTCTGAACTTTTGAGTTATGAGAAAATAAGTTTCTGCTTTAAGTGTTTTAAGTCACCCAGTTGGTAATGCTTTGTCATTACAGCCACAGGAAACTAATCTGCCCAGGAAAACACACTCTGAGACAGATTTGCAGGCAGATGGAAGCAGGATTGGGAAGAGGGACAATGTGAACTCCAATGCCTTGGCAAGAAGGGCTCAGTTGATCCCACTGAAAGCTTAAAGCTGACCTAACCCTTCAAAGATATCCTGAATTGAGGAAAGAAGGCCGGAACTACTTATTTCCGGACCAAAGCATTCATTCTCTGTATTGTGCACAGCAACTCTCAAGAGAGTGAAGCATCACAAGACAAGACAGCTCTTTTCAACAGAGCGCAATTCCATTGGGTTGACTTAATTGTGAGCTATCAGTAGCCAACATCCCTAGCAGCTGGGGAAATGATGGTATCAATTCAAAACAGGGAATCTGGTTGGCACCTCATAACCAAAGGCTGTGCTATGGTTATTATTTTTGTCCAAGTAAGAAACATCTCAAGGATGGAGACCATGGAAAATAGATCAACCAGAGTGGATCTCTGTGAGTTGATTTTACAAAAGCAAATTTTTTTTTTTTAACTGGCAAATCCAAGGCAAACTCTGTGGGAAGACTTGAAGGAGAATAAAAGGCTTCTGTAATGTCCATAAGTGAACTGAGAAGGAAGAGTGAACTTGGGGAAAAGGATGTGGTAGAGGTGAGGCTCACTGTACTCATCCTTCCTGGGAGGCTGAGGTGGCAGTGGATGGGCTGACTTCATGGGGTAGACCTCAGGGATTCCACCATTGGTGGGGCAGTGGAGTCTACTGTTCCTCTGCTCACAAGGAGAAGGCCAGACACATCACATAGTAAACAGCTTCTTCAATTTATTAACAACTAAAAAGTTTCTGATCTACAACTAATAGCATGAACAATGAAATGGCCAATAAGCACACGAAAAGCTGTTCAACATCCTTCATCATCAGGAACTTTTCAAGTAAAACTACAAGGAGATAGCACTACACACACCTGCAAGAATGGCTAGAATGAAAAAAGACAACTAATGACAAGTGTTAGAGAAGTTGTGGAGAAATTAGAACCCTCATACACTGTTGGTGGGAATGTGCAATGGGGCAGTCACTTTGGGGACACTGTTCAGCAGTCTGCCAAAGTTAACCAAATACCTATTACAAACAGCACAATTTCTTCCTGAGAAATTTACCCAGGAGAAATTGAAATGGATGTTCACATGGCAGGCACACAAAAATGATTATAATAGCTTTATTCATAACGACCTGACCTGGAAATAACTCAAGTGTCCATTGGCAGATAAAGATATAAATTGTGATATGATTATACAATGGAAGACTATTCAGCAATAAAAGTATACAAACTACTGATAGAGGCAACTTCATGGGTGAATCTCAAAACCATCACGTTGAATTAAAGAAACCAGATGTAAAAGAATACATATGATATGGCTGCATCTAGAGAGAAGTCTAGAAAAGACCTATCTAATTTACAATGATTAAAAGCAGATAAGGGGTTGACTAACACTGGGAAGGGAGAAAAGTTTTCCAGGTAGGAACACAAAGAAATGTTTAAGGATTGAAGAAACGATTATATATGGTGATTTAGTGGCCATTACTCAAGTGTTTGCATTTGTCAAAATTCTTCTTCAAACTACGAGCTTAAAATGGACATGATAAAGTTGATTTTTTTAAAAAAAACCAATTACATGGGAGACTCTCTGCCTCTGTTCTGGATAGACCTGGAGCTGGTGGGTGGAAGGATGAGATGACTATTCTTTTCTTAGCTCACACAGTGATCCAGAGTTCCACATCAGAGACTTTCTCCTTGTTACCACAAAGCGAAAATGACAGGGTTGTCTGTTGCAATGAAGATAACTCCCCAGACTAAAGAAGCCACAGAAGGTCACAAGAACACTCAACTCCAATATCATCACGTATTTACCTAGGAGATCTCATGGACAGTTTGACCGTGTTGCTTTTTCCCACTGCTTCTTTGCTTTTGGATTCAGTCACTAAGACACCAAAAGGTCAAAAGTCTTACTCAGAGTTGGTGACAGTGAGTCAATGTCCATCCTCCTCTGCCTTTCAGCCTACAGTCTGAGCACTAACCCACAGTTAGGCCCACAGACTTGGAGCATTATTTAGAATACCCACATCCCCCATTCTTTCTTTTCCTTTCTTCTACATCCCTGTCCCATCATAAAACACCCATGAATATCTTAAAATAAACTTATTAAGGAAAAGTTAGCAAATAGGTTATCATGCAATAAACAGCTACCATGAAACTTAATTTGCTTGTGGCCTCAGGAGAGTTACTAAAGGGCCATGTTTTCTAAAGTTTCAAAATAATGTTCACCTGAAATCAGAACATGATTTCAAATTAATTCACCCTAATAAAGCTGATATGGTTAAAAAAAATGAACCAATAAAATCAACATGGTTATCTTTGTTCAAACAAACATGTACCCACTACATGACGTTCATGTAACTCTAGAGCTATTAGATAGAATTGGTGATCAAAACATTGAGAGATATCATCTAATTTCCATATTGAAGAATTTTTTTTTTTTTTTTTTTGCTCCTGAAGGATATAATTAGCATCTGAGTACATTAAGTTGGTAATCATACTTGAGGACATGTTCAAAAACTCTAGGCAGGGAAATAAAAGGTTGTCCAGTTCAGTTGTTCACAATGATAGTCCATACATAAAAAAATATAAATTCCTAGGTCTCACCATGGAGTTCCTATTAAATCCAAAAGTATGTTTCAAAATGTTCCCAAAGCAATTCTGGTATGCAGATATGTCTGATCTGGCTCCGGTTCCTTTGTGGCTTTCTTCTTATGTGATGTGCTCTGAGAACTCTTGCCCTACACCACAGACTACAGAGGTGGAATCCAAATGGTATGGGTCTTGTCCCCATCACTGAGAGCACATCACCAAGGCAAGCATGTTGATTTAATTGCATATTAATGTATAAATGCATCATATTTCAAAAGAATCCATGTTTCAATCCAGAATAATTAACCCTGAAGAGCAAGCAAACAATTCAACAGATCTTCGGATAGGCAGCTCCAACTGTAGAAACAGGTAAACATTTTTTTGAGTAGTGTCATAGATTTGTATTTTCCTTCAATATGATACATTGTTTCTTGTACCATCATCTCTGTCATTTTGACATGATGATAATCCCAAACTGAATTAAAATATTCCTGTTAGTGAAGAATTAATCAAGATAAATTTGGATTTTTTTAAAATGTTCTTCCTCAAGAGATTTTTGTATTTTTATGATCAAACCATGAAAAGATAGAAAAGTAGAGATGTTTGTTTTATTATGTCACTTTAGTGACATGTCCCTGAATAAGCAAGAGGAAAATGACCAGGAGTACAATCTTAAGTGCATGCTTTTGTTTACTGATAGAAAATCCCAGATCTTCAACTCACCAGATATGGTGTGTAAGGCAAGATCAAAAAGGAGTTCATCTAAATATACAAATTTCCAATTAACTGCCCTTGTGATGGGATTTAAGGGTCTCTGAGTGAAGCAACCCGTTTGAATTGCCCAGCTTGATACCTCTGACAGCATCTATTGTAAGATGTCAACCATAGGAATAGGGAAGAACAGAACTCATAAGCCCAACCCTCTCTCCCTGGCTAGAGCACAGGATGGCCAAGAGGCCACAGGAGACTAGCAGAGCTACCTGGATGCAGGGGAAATCATCATTTTTTTTTTGAGAAAATCTCAAGAGGTAATACAGGCTCCATTCTAAGTTTTCTTTTGCATTCTTTCCTGTTACCCAATTACAATGGCATATTAAAAATAACCAGTACTGGCTTGCCACAGATCTCTGTTCTCCTTTTAAGTCTGAACAAGTACAAATGAGTCAAGATCCCCTGCTGTGCCCCACCCCAGGACAGATCACTGAGCCCTCTCTTCCTTCCTGTTGGCTCCTGGATTCTCTCTGCTGCAGCATTTATCTCAGCATAATTCCTGAATTTCTGGCTCATTGTCAGGTATGCCCTCTCTCCCTCTGGGGGCCTCCCCAGGTCTCTTCCAGGGCCTCTTTTAGCCTCACTTTTTTCTGTGTGTCTCTGTTTCTTTTTCAGTCATCACTTTCTCAACAACCCTCTGTTTCACCAAGTGAAGAGAAAACAAGCAGGAAAAGTGAACCACAAAAAGAAAAGACCATTTGGTCAGAGCATTTGTACTGAGCATACCTGGAAAAAATTCTGACTCACTCCAGCCATGTCAGCACCTTCTGTCACCAGGAATCTCTTCAGCTAAAGAGGCTCATTTCCTCTATACAATATTTGCATTCTTAATACACATCCCTTAATGAAGATGAGCTCTTGGCATTCATGCAAAAGCAATCTGTACTCTGTAGAAGATATCGTCTTTAACCTCAGGTTGAACTAAAAAGTACTGGAAATTGTAAGAGTTTATTTTTTATTTTATTTTATTTTTTTTAACCTTTGGGGGTCATTCAGGATGGGGATCTGCCTGGCAGTTCTTAATGGTGGTTTGATTGGGCTCCAATACTGTTTTAAAGTCTCAACTCAGTGTCTAGCCAAGTAAAACATATCCTCTTTTTCATCTGTGCTCTCAAGTCTAGCCTTCAGCCCCAGGTCCTCAGTCATTCCTTGGTTCTTCTCTGGATTCTTTCCAATTTGTTGACAAATCCCCCGATCTTCATTTAAAACTACTTCTTAATTTCTTCCCGATAGCATCTCACAGTGTTTCCTCAAGATCAGCATTTTCTGCTCTCTCTGCCCACACATTAAGCTGAATGTGGGAGCAAAGAGTATAAAGTCCACAAGGCTGCTCAGGGGAGACATCAGCACCAAGGCTAATGGACGTTTCAAAAGAGCAGAGCCAGGCTATTCCAGGCTGGCAGGAGACATTTTCTTTTTTTTTTTTTTTCCTTTTTGAAAACAATATCCTTCCTTGACTATAAAGTCTATATTGATCACTGCTGAAAACCTACAAAATACACAAAAAGAAGCAAAAGTTGTAAAAATCATGGGTAATCTGTAAAACAAGACAATTACTGTTAATATTTTTTATGTTTTCTTCTACTCCTTTATGTACAAATATTTTAACAAACCTAATTGTATACAAAGGCAGTTTCTCGTGTATTTGTTTCCCAGATTCCTTTTTCATTTTTCCAGTGATTATTTTATGCCTTAGAATTACACTACCTTCAGTACTGTAATTTTTTATCAACACTAATTTCTTTTCTTTTTCAACATTTTCTTGGCTATTATTACTTTTTTTTTAAAACTATTATTTACCTTTTTCTTACCAGATGGCTATTTGGTACACTTTGTTCACTTTTTGAATAGAATTTCTTTAGATAAAAAAGTTAAAACACAAAAATAAAAGAAAGCCTTGACTTTTACAATGTTGTCTCCTTCAGTTCCAGAACATTCGCTCATTATGCATTTTTCAATTTATCAATTAAGACTTATGGTGCTATTGATTATGCAATTCATATTTTTAAACATTTCTAGTTTATTTTTAAAGCCAATGGCTTCATATATGGTGGATTTGCGTGTGTCTGGTTTTACATTTTTCTTGTCTTCTTTATCTCTAGATACTAAGGCTCCTCATTCTATTTTTGTTGCTACGAAATATCCTTAGCATACAATTTACTGTTTTAACCACTTTTGAGTAAACCATTCTGTAGTATTAAGTACATTTGTACTCTTATGCAACTACTACCAACATCCAATTCCAGAATCTTCCCAATCTGAAACTTTGTATATGTTAAACAGGAAGTCCTACTTTTCCCTCTACTCCAACCCCTGGAAACCAACATTCTTTCTGTCTCTACAAATTTTATATATATATTAGCCACTCCAAATTGGTATCTCATAGGGGTTTAATTTTTCTAATGATTAGTGATACTGAGAATCTTTTTATGTGCTTTTTGGCCATTTGTATATCTTCTTTGAATAAATGTCTATGTATGCAGTTTGCCCATTTTTCCCCTTTTGTAGAATTTGCCCTTTAAGGGAATTTAAGGTTCACAGCAAAACTGAACAGGAATGACAGTGTTCCCATAGACCCTTGCCTCTACAAAAATGCAACCTCCACTTACGCCACTATCAGCATCCTATACCAGAATAGTGTATCACTACAATTGAAAACCTACACTGACACACCATTATTACCCAAGCACCATAGCCTACATAAAGATTCACTCTAGGTGATACACTCTGTGGTTTTGATAAATATATACTGCAATATATGTATCATCATAGTATTTATCATCATAGTATGATACAAACTAATATTACCACCCTAAAACTTGGAGATTTCTTTTCTGTTTTATTCATTGATTTCTCTATTCTTTCATCAATACCACACTATCTCGATTACCATAGCTTTATTTTTTCCAAAGTCTCATTAAAAAAAATTATTACTCTTACAGTTCAAACATTTAAAATGTTAGCAGACCAACCATAAAAGTTTGACATAAACTGGCCATTGATACTGAAGGAGCAATAATTTCTTAATTTATCAGTAATGAGAGCTACTGGGTTGGTTGCTCCTGTAGTTTATACAGTGGACATTTATATTTCATGTTTATATTTATATGATATGTTTATATTTATGTTATGTTTATATTACATTACTTTCTCATTTTTCTACCATCTTTCCTATCTCCATGCCTCCTCCCCATTCCTCCCTCCCCTTTGGCTAATCCAAAGTTCCTTCACTCATCCCACCCTCACCCCCCATGGATGAGCATCCACTTATCAGAGAAAACATTCAGCCCTTAGTCTTTTGGGATTAGCTTACTTCACTTAGCATGATATTCTCCAACTCCATCCATTTAACTGCAAATGCCATAATTTTCTTTTATTGCTGAATAATTATATATATATATATATCACAGTTTCTTTATCCATTGAAGGGTATCTATGTTGGTTCCACAGTGTGGCTATTGTAAATTGTGCTGCTATAAACACTGATATGGTTACATCACTGTAGTATGCTATTTTTAAGTCCTTTGGGTATAGAGCAAAGAGTGAGATAGCTGGGTTAAATGGTGGTTCCATTCCAAGTTTTCTAATGAATCTCCATACTGCTTTCCAGAGTGGTTGCACTAATTTGCAGTCCCATCAGCAATGTATGAGTGTACCTTATCCCCCAATGTCCTCGCCAACACTTATTGTTGCTTGTATTTTTTTTTATTATTGTAATTGTAGATGGACAGAATGCCTTTGTTTTACTTGTTTATTTTTATATGGTGTTGGGGATTGAACCCAGTGCCTCACACATGCCTCACACAGGCATGCACTCTGTTATTGAGCTACAGCTACAGCCCCCTTATATTCTTGATAATTGCCATTCTGACT